GGAAAAGGTGGCGCGCAGGGTGATGTTGGTCCCGCAGGATACTGTGCACCCTCCTCAGACAGCGAGTGGGGAAGATATTACTGATCTCTGGCAGACTTGTTCCAATAATTCTGCCAGCTTCTTTCACCACCCGCTGGAGTGCTTGCTGATCGGCCTTGGTGCAGCTGGGGAACCACACTAGAAATCCATACGTCAGAACGCTGCTGATGGCACAGTTGTAGAAGTTCAACATCAGAGATCTGGGAATGTGTGCGCTCCGCAGTCTCCTCAGGTAGTAGAGGCGCTGTTGGGCCTTCCGTGCAACTGAGGTGATATGGTTGCCCCAGGACAGGTCCTCGGTCACAGTTACCCCCAAGAATTTAAAACTGCTCACCCTCTCCACCGCCTCACTGCCAATGAAGAGAGGCAGATGGTTGTTATGACCCCTCTTCCGGAAATCTACAATGATCTCCTTGGTCTTTTTGGTGTTTAAGACCAAGTTATTGTCGTGGCACCATGACTCTAGTTGTTGCACCTCTGTCCTATAGTTTGTCTCATCATTGTTGGATATAAGTCCGAACATGCTGAGCATGTCCGAGATATGGCATGCTATATCTCAGGTGGCAGAGCAGGTTACAAACTGATAGGAAGGTTAGTGGTTCGATCCTGGCTCCTCCAGTCTGCATGTCAAGAGTGTGAATGTGTATGAATGTAGTTAGGAAGCACTCTGTTAAGCAAAAGTGGGTGAATGTGGCATGTTGTATAGAGCAGTTTGAGCAATCTGGGAGAGTAGAAAAGCGCTATATAAAAATCAGTCCATTCACTGTCTGAACAGAGTTTCGGCATGTTACTTTTGCACTGTTTTGCATGTTCTGCCACATGTTGTTATTGCATGGCTTGATTAAGGTACACATTAGGCTGACATCTGGGGCCAGAGCTGAAACCGTTCTGGGCCAGCACAGGGCCAGCAGTGTGTCTACAACTGGCCCGTGACTGCGCATCACCTACAGATGGCCCACATACTGCAATGAATGACGGCCCTTTGGTGGCCCAGATCAGGTTTGCCAGAGGTAATCCACACATGGGCCAGCACAGGACCACCAGTGTGTCTGAAACTGGCCTTGTGCTGGCCCATGTGTAGGCCACCTCTGGCAAACTAGGTCTGGGCCACCAAAGGGCCGTCATTCTTTGCGTGCACAATGTGTGCGTGTGTGTGTGTGTGTGTGTGTGTGTGTGTGTGTGTGTGTGTGTGTGTGTGTGTGTGTGTGTGTGTGTGTGTGTGTGTGTGTGTGTGTGTGTGTGTGTGTGTGTGTGTGTGTGCATGCGCGTGCATGGGGTTAGGGTCAAATGTTGGATGTATTTTGGTGTTTTATTGTTCTTTTTTTTTTTGGTGTTTTATTGTTCTGTGAAATGTTTGCATTGTTTATTTGTTGTTTATTTATTTGTTCATCCTTGTTGTACTAATACAACTTATTATAGCATAACTTGGCATTTTACTACCCTTGTCGCACAGTGTTGCCTTGAAGCAACAAACCAATATCTGTTTGGGGGGGGCAGGGTGTCAAATTTTATGATTGATATATTATTAGGGACCCTAAAGCTCCCCCAAAATAGGGAGAAATATTTTTTTCCCAAAAAATTAACAACATTAGTTCAGTTATAGTACACCAACATCTCTAACATATTAGCACTAAGGGAACACTGAATGACCTGGTGGTTTTTGTCCATAAAACTACTCATCTAAGATTACCACAAAATATCTCTCAGCAAAATTATGCAACATTTTAGTCACTATTGCCCCGATCAAATCAGTGAGCTGGGATTTTTAATTCTAAACATGAACTACTGTTACAGCAACAGACATGGACTACATGTCCATGGGGCGATCATGGCTCAAGAGTTGGGAGTTTGCCTTGTAATCGGAAGGTTGCCGGTTCGAACCCCGGCTTGGACAGTCTCGGTCGTGTGTCCTTGGGCAAGACACTTCACCCGTTGCCTACTGGTGGTGGTCAGAGGGCCCGGTGGCGCCAGTGTCCGGCAGCCTCGCCTCTGTCAGTGCGCCCCAGGGTGGCTGTGGCTACAACGTAGCTTGCCATCACCCAGTGTGTGAATGTGTGTGTGAATGGGTGGATGACTGGATATGTCAAGCGCTTTGGGGTCCTTAGGGACTAGAAAAGCGCTATATAAATAAAGGCCATTTACCATTTACCAGGCCATGTCCCACACAACAACTCAACGTCCTCTATGTGAAGGAGCCAAACACATGCCTTCTCCTCTCGTTAACTGAGATAAACTGCTGGCATATTTGTTTTACATCTATACTGTCCAATGTCTCCTGGTGGACATGGCATACAGCAGCATTGTTTAATCTCATTTGAGTCATTGTTGACCTTACCCATCTTTTTAGTCTTCTGAGAGCACTGAAGCTTCTTTCAGCCTCAGTACATGCGTTTTATCCTCAGATTACAATTATTATTCTATGCTTGATGTGCCTCACCTTTGGCCCTGGCTCTTCCCCTCTGACTGCACTAGGACATATTGCTACCTGATAAAATAACACATTGATTTGTGCCATATAAAAAGTGAGACATGTCAATTCAGATTCTTTGTCAAATATACACTAATGAATCAATTTACATCAGCAGCCTAACAGTTGTCATGATAATAAATGGTAAATGGCCTTTATTTATATAGCGCTTTTCTAGTCCCTAAGGACCCCAAAGCGCTTTACACAACCTGTCATCCACCCATTCACACACACAGTCACACACTGGTGATGGCAAGCTACATTGTAGCCACAGCCACCCTGGGGCGCACTGACAGAGGCGAGGCTGCCGGACACTGGCGCCACAGGGGCCCTCTGACCACCACCAGTAGGCAACGGGTGAAGTGTCTTGCCCAAGGACACAACGACCGAGACTGTCCAAGCCGGGGCTCGAACCGGTAACCTTCCGATTACAAGGCGAACTCCCAACTCTTGAGCCACGATCGCCCCATAATAAATACTAGTTAATCTATAGCACCAAATCATCAGTCAGTCACCTGTGACCTCGCCTCTTCACCTCTGTCTGAGCTACAACATGGCAGAGCTGCCTCTGTCAGCTGATGAATAACAGTGAGACATTCCACATACATGCAGTCACACATGTGCTTCAAATACAGTAATGAACCATCAAGTCATCATCCAATTTCACCTGTGATCTTGTATCACCATTACTCTCTATCACCTGACAAATAGGACATACATCAGTAATGTTTGTAGGGTGAGTGCATTTTTAAAACAATTTGTGCAAACTGCACTCCAAGGTGGAATATTTGCACAATCATGACTACCTCATGATATTTTGTCTCAAAAATTAACCCTATGAATATGTCAGTGCCATTAGGATGAAATTATTGTGTCACCAACATTTTAATGTTAGACATATAATTTTAACAGCCTCTGTAAACTAATATCCTTGCTCGAGGCTGCCGTTTTCTCTGACAGTTTCAATCAAAATTAGAAATGCTACTCTGGGAGACTGAGAGAACTAATAGTGCTGCCTGTTGTGCAGTTAGTTTCCGAAATACTTTTTTATATCCAGGTTCTTCCTTTGTGCTGCCGTCCTCCTCTCCTCCTTGCAGGTCCTGGCAGCGCAGGCTTGCAGCTGCTAAAACTAAACAGAGCTCCCTGAAAGGCACAGCCAATCACATTGGCCATATCTATCACATGACGTAGGACTCCAGTAGAGAACGTAATTTAACTCTTTCTGCACCGCTGGGTGAATGAGACGTCGACAGATGTTTTTTTTTTTCTTTTTATCGCGTTTGTTTTTCTTTACTCGAAGAAATCAAATTATTGGTGGGGACAATTCAATATTCGCTGGATATTGGTGGGGACATGTCCCTTCCGTCCATGCCAAATCTACGCCCTTGTGTGAGACTGACTGTTCAGTAATGTGCACATCATTTTAAGCAACCTTTGTTACAACTTGATTTACAATATTGCCATTTAAAGATGAAATAACAACACAGTTATTAATATGTACAGAAGTCTGAATAAGAGTATTTTTATTACATTTACTAACATATTTTTAAATATAAATGAAATGCAGCACTTATAATGATAATGGATTGGATTTATATAGCGCTTTTCAAGGCACCCAAAGCGCTTTACAATGCCATTATTCATTCACTCTCACATTCACACACTGGTGGAGGCAGCTACAGTTGTAGCCACAGCTGCCCTGGGGCAGACTGACAGAAGCGAGGCTGCCATATCGCGCCATCGGCCCCTCTGGCCAACACCAGTAGGTGGTAGGGTAAAGTGTCTTGCCCAAGGACACAACGACCAGGACAGAGAGCCCGGGGATCGAACCGGCGACCTTCCGGTTACAGATACGATACCAAAGTTGATGATTACAGCAACTAGAAGACGGAAGTAAATAGTGTAAAAAACAAATATTTATCAGTAGCAATATCAGCAATGTCAGTCTGCCCCAGGGCAGCTGTGGCTACAACTGTAGCTTGCCTCCACCAGTGTGTGAATGTGAGAGTGAATGAATAGTGGAATTGTAAAAGCGCTTTGAGGGTTTCGAAAAGCGCTATATAAATGCAATCCATTATTATTATCAATATCAATGTAGTAAATTATTCACAGAAAACATATTCAGCGATCAGAGCTCAGAGAAATACATTCAGAAAGGAAATTTAAGCAGCTGCACGTGTACAGATGTGAAGCAGAACTTGCATCTAATTATAGACACTACGCAATAACACGAGGTGCACGCTATACGTTCAGTCATTCCCACCGCATGGCTGTTTGCATGCAGAAATGTTTATATTGCTTTCATGTGATGTATGAACCACTGCTACAAATCCTCCAGCTGGCAGCTCAGTGAGGTCTCTTTACAGCACATGACATTAACAGAGACGGCTTAGCTGCTTTGCTTTAGTTATTAGCCAAAGTGCTAATCTTATACACTCGAGGTCTTCCTGTCTGAGTGGAAAAATACAGCAGGGAAGTGGCATTAGATCGGATCTTTGTCACAGCCAAACCTCTTTTTTTTTCTAATGCGTAACGTGCAGAGCAATAATTGGGTCAGAGGAGTTAAAGCAAACCACGGTTACTTTGTTTCTCACTTTGGCTCTGTTCATGACATGTTTGCTGTGTAGAGCTCTCGCAGTGTAAGCGGCTGAGAGGAATACTGATCAGTTTTCTGGGGCTGGAAAGGGGCTCTTGGGGGCGGGAGTTTGATGATGGAGAGGTAGGTGTTCACCGCGTTTTTCTTTTGCGCTTTACGCTTTAACGCTAAAAAATGCGGCAGCACTCTGTCGCCAGTTCAATTCCCGATTATCCTACGAGCTTAAGTTCAACGAATGAATAAATTAAGCTTATAAGCAATGCCAAATAATCAGCTGAGAAGTTCTGAATGTGTGCAATAAAACCCCCAGAGCTCTCTGTCAGTGTGAATGAGAGCTTTAAAGGTTTGACAGCAGTTGTCCTATAAGTGTGGAGGAAGTGGAAGGACATTGGGGTGAGGGTTTTCTTATTGTTTTTAAAAAAAAAACAACAAAAAAAAAAAACAAGAAAAACAAACAAACGAACAAAACCAATACAACTTAATTTGCTACTGATTTTCTCAGCATGCCGAGGGAATTTCTTAAAGGAAGCAGCCTGGACGTACCCGGACAAGAAAAAGGTCTCATGAAGAAGACTCAGTTGCTCGACCGCGGCCAGTGGGCGAGCAAGTTGGAGTTTTTACTGGCTGTAGCAGGAACATTGGTTGGCCTGGGAAACCTTTGGAGGTTTCCCTACTTGTGCTACAAAAATGGGGGAGGTATGCAGATCAAACATATATCCCCTCTGCTTTTCTGTCATTCTCTCAAAATTGTTGATATGTGAACATGAAGGGTAATGCTTGAAGAGATTTGCCCCAAGCGAAATCTTGTGGCATATTTGTGTAATGATCCTCGTGTTTCTACTCTCAGGTGCATTTCTTATTCCCTACGTCCTGTTTCTGCTTGCTTGTGGCATCCCAATGTTCCTCCTGGAAACAGCTATGGGACAGTTCACATCTCAGGGATGTATTACCTGCTGGAGGCACTTCTGCCCCTTGTTTGAAGGTCAGTGTATAAAAAAAGCTGAAATATGTAAGTGAGAGTTGATACTGTGTGAAAACATGCCCTCTTTACCAACAGTTGAATTGTCCTTTAGTTTCACATAAAAAAAAATGCACATTACTTTTTGGGAATTGCATGTTAAATAAATTTCCGTGAAAAACAATAACTCAAATAATAGGTTTTATTTTTTGGAGTGATGTATGGTTATGTATGAAACCATGAAGTAAGCGCAAAAAAGTTTTTTAGCTTTACTTAACTTTGTTCAGAGCACAAGTGTGAGTAATGTGTTGTATCTTACAGTGTCGAGACTGTCGTGCTGTCTCATCTACTGCACTGGTTCGTGTGTTCTTTGACAGATCTGACATATCTGACTGACACAGAACATTTCCCTGAGAAAAAAAACATCAAGGTCGAGATTATACGTTCTTCAGAGAATTGCAAAATAACTTGTTGACTTAAGAAAAAAGAAATCAGTTATGTTCACTGCCAAAAAGAAAAGCTTCTCATGTCTAGGGAAGGGTATTGATAAGATTTTCATGATTCCGATTCCATTTTCGATTCTGTTTGACGATTCGATTCTTTATCGATTCTCTTATCGATTCTTTTTAAAAAAAAAAAGGAGAACACTAAGGTCGATTAGCTTAGAACTTTGTTTTATATCTTCTCTTTGAACAAGATAGAAATTTAGGAGTAACATGGCCTTACAAACCCAACAGTGAGATCTTAAGAGATCCAGTCTACGGCTCTTCAATGGGGTGTCACAGGGTCCCCAGGAAAAAAAATTGTAAATGTAAAATAATAAAATAAATATTCTTCTGTAGCAATAACAAAGTTTAACATAAATTATTCTGCAGCAATTACACAAGAATATCCAGTAATGTCCCTGCCTACAATTAAACACATTCACTTACCAAAAATCGAGGGCATCTGCTTTGGCAAATGGGTGCAAGCCTTTTACCACAAACTTAGTCACTGCTCGGTGACATTCGTCTATCCTGGCCTGAAAGGAAACGCTACCGGTAGACTGCAGCGAGAACTGCCAGCATCTGAGCCAGACTCTGTCTGTCTCTCTCATCATGGTCACCTAAATGCACAGTAATGGCAGGTTTTGTAATAAGGCAGATCGCGCTAACATAATATGCACTGTTGTTGATTATTTATCTGCCGCATTAACGGGAGAGGACGTGCTGCTGGATTGAGATTCACGAGTCCGGAGTGGAATTAAAAACACGACATTCATTTAAGCTTATTGCGTGTTTTTTGCATATTCGTAGTGTTTCCTCCCTTAAATGAAATATCTACTTTGCAAGTATTGCAAGTTGCCCCGTTGTCATCCGTTCTTGTAAAGTATAACCAAACTTTTGAGTGTTTGAGCCTCTTAGGTACCATGTTTCGATACCCATCCCTACTCATGTCTGTCCCCAGCACATACAGTGCAAAAGTATTCGGCCCCCTTGAACTTTCCCACATTTTGTCACATTACAGCCACAAACATGAATCAATTTTATTGCAATTCCACGTGAAAGACCAATACAAAGTGGTGTACACGTGAGAAGTGGAATGAAAATCATACATGATTCCAAACATTTTTTACAAATAAATAACTGCAAAGTGGGGTGTGCGTAATTATTCAGCCCCCTTTGGTCTGAGTGCAGTTAGTTGCCCATAGACATTGCCTGATGAGTGCTAATGACTAAATAGAGTGCACCTGTGTGTAATCTAATGTCAGTACAAATACAGCTGCTCTGTGACGGCCTCAGAGGTTGTCTAAGAGAATATTGGGAGCAACGACACCATGAAGTCCAAAGAACACACCAGACAGGTCAGGGATAAAGTTATTGAGAAATTTAAAGCAGGCTTAGGCTACAAAAAGATTTCCCAAGCCTTGAACATCCCATGGAGCACTGTTCAAGCGATCATTCAGTAATGGGAGGAGTATGGCACAACTGTAAACCTACCGAGACAAGGCTGTCCACCTAGGAAGAAAACCCCTTGGAGTCTGCAAAAGACTTGAGACTGGGGCGGAGGTTCACCTTCCAGCAGAACGACGACCCTAAACATAAAGCCAGGGCAACAATGGAAGGATTTAAAACAAAACATATCCATGTGTTAGAATGGCCCAGTCAAAGTCCAGATCTAAATCCAATCGAGAATCTGTGGCAAGATCTGAAAACTGCTGTTCACAAACGCTGTCCATCTAATCTGACTGAGCTGGAGCTGTTTTGCAGAGAAGAATGGGCAAAGATTTCAGTCTCTAGATGTGCAACGCTGGTAGAGACAAACCCTAAAAGACTGGCAGCTGTAATTGCAGCAAAAGGTGGTTCTACAAAGTATTGACTCAAGGAGCTGAATAATTACGCACACCCCACTTTTCAGTTATTTATTTGAAAAAAATGTTTGGAATCAAGCATGATTTTCGTTCCACTTCTCACGTGTACACCACTTTGTATTTGTCTTTCACGTGGAATTGCAATAAAATTGATTCATGTTTGTGGCTGTAATGTGACAAAATGTGGGAAAGTTCAAGGGGGCCGAATACTTTTGCACTGTATGTGCTGGGGACAGACATGAGTAGGGATGGGTATCGAAACATGGTACCTAAGAGGCTCAAACACTCAAAAGTTTGGTTATACTTTACAAGAACGGATGACAACGGGGCAACTTGCAATACTTGCAAAGTAGATATTTCATTTAAGGGAGGAAACACTACGAATATGCAAAAAACACACGATAAGCTTAAATGAATGTCGTGTTTTTAATTCCACTCCGGACTCGTGAATCTCAACCCAGCAGCACGTCCTCTCCCGTTAATGCGGCAGATAAATAATCAACAACAGTGCATATTATGTTAGCGCGATCTGCCTTATTACAAAACCTGCCATTACTGTGCATTTAGGTGACCATGATGAGAGAGACAGACAGAGTCTGGCTCAGATGCTGGCAGTTCTCGCTGCAGTCTACCGGTAGCGTTTCCTTTCAGGCCAGGATAGACGAATGTCACCGAGCAGTGACTAAGTTTGTGGTAAAAGGCTTGCACCCATTTGCCAAAGCAGAAAAGAAAACTGCCTGTGACTCCTGAAAACCTGATGGATGTTGTGTACAAGTCCACGTGATCCACATGACACATTTTGCAACTCAGAGGAGAGGTGCAGACTTTGGGGCGGAGCCAGGCATTGCTTCCGTCTTTTTAACCACTCTTATAGATTTCTTAACCTTTTATTTGCTGTAACTCCTGCTGGTTGGATACGGTTTAAAGATTAGTCATTACAAGGCATGTTTGTGGAGGATTGGCTCTTCCCATAGTTTTAGCACTGTTTTGACATTGCCCTTACTGAGGTTGTAGTGGAAAACCACCTAGATTCATTGTGACGATAGCATCTACAGTAGATGGTCAATAGTACACATTAGGACATAAATATATATAACAAGATATGTGAACATGGGAAAGTGTTTGATTTTTGCTTGTTGTTATATTACTGTCATGATTGTTTGTGCATGCTTTACATCATGACATGTATCCATATACAGTATGCTTTATATATTTAAAATATCTTTTTGTTTTCCTCTTTTATCCCGCTGTAAAGCACTCTGAATTACCTTGTGTCTGACTAGTGCCATACAAATCAAGTTGACTTGATTTATGAAGCCGACTCACACCCCTTCCATTCATAAATATGGCAGAGATGTTGAAACACTTTTTTTTTTTTAAAAAGGAAGTCAGTTCTACCACGCAGAGGTGTCAATATTCCCTGAAGGGCAAGTTTAACCCTAGCGTAAAATTCTCACAGACGTGAGAAAGTCTCTCACGCCTGGATTTGGGGATCCTCTGCCATTCCTCCTTACAAATCCTCTCCAGTTCTGTCAGGTTGGATGATAAACATTGGTGGACAGCCATTTTTAGGTCTCTCCAGAGATGCTCAATTAGGTTTAAGTCAGGGCTCTGGCTGGGCCATTCAAGAACAGTCACGTGGTTGTTGTGAAGCCCCTCCTTCGTTATTTTAGCTGTGTGCTTAGAGTCATTGACTGGTTACAAGGTAAACCTTGGGCCCAGTCTGAGGTCCTGAGCACTCGGGAGAAGGTTTTTGTCCAGGATACTTGTACTTGGCCGCATTCATCTTTCCCTCGATTGCAACAAGTTGTCCTGTCCCGGCAGCTTTTTGTTTTGTTTTTTTTAGCAAACTTCATGGGGGCTTTCACGTCTCATGCACTGAGGAGAGGCTTCCACTCTGCCATACAGCCTCAACTGGTGGAGGGCTGCAGTGATGGTTGACTTTTTACAACTTTCTCCCATCTCCCAACTGCATCTCTGGAGCTCAGCCACAGTGATCTTTGGGTTCTTTTTTAACTCTCTCACCAAGGCTCTCCTTCCCCAATAGCTCAGTTTGGTCGGACGGCCAGGTCTAGGAAGGGTTCTGGTCATTCCAAACATCTTCTGTTTAGAACTGATGAAGCTTCTCGGATGAGAGGTGAAACGTCTTCATGCAACTTAAAGAAGTCCAGACGCTTTTCTTTGCAAGCTCCTTTGACTACGATGACCTGGATGACTGAGAACCTTCACAGACATCTTCTGTTTAAAGATTATGGAGGCCCCTATAGTCTTAGGAACCTTAAATGCAGCAGAATTTTTTTTGTAACCTTAGGTAGCTCTGTGCCACAATTCTGTCTCTAAGCTCTTCAGGCAGTTCCTTTGACCTCATGATTCTCATTTGCTCTAATATGCATTATGAGCTTTAAGGTCTTATATAGACAGGTGTGTGGCTTTCCTAAGTTCAATCAGTATAATCAATCAAATGAAGGTGTAGAACCATCTCAAGGACGATCAGACAAAATGGAAACACCTGAGTTAAATGAATAAGTATCACAGCAAAGGGTCTGAATACTTTGGACCATGTGATATTTCAGTTTTTCTTTTTTAATAAATCTGCAAAAATGTCAACAACTCTGTGTTTTTCTGTCAGTATGGGGTTCTGTGTGTACATTATTGAGGAAAAAATTAACTTAAATTATTTTAGCACATGGCTGCAATAAAACAAAGAGTGAAGAACTTAAGTGGGCCTGAATACTCTCCGTACCCACTGTACATCTGTAATGGCCTTAAAAAACAAGAATTGGGTAAACAAGTTTGAATTTATTCAGAATTTTCTGTAATCTACACAGGGTTATAAGTATGCATGCAGACACAAATATATTTCTACACTATCATTTAAATACTTCCATAAGTAGGGCTAAAGGCAAGGCATATTAGAGTAACTTCTTGTTATGTAAAAGTGTGAAAGCGCATTAAGTTAATTGCATTGGATGCCAAAATGTCAAAGCAAAAATGTCTGCTGCTGTATTTTAAGAAAACATATAAATTTTTAGTCAAAACAGTGAAATTTGTTTTATATGACAAAATAATATATAGTCCAAAATAAGTATTTGGCTTGCTATTTTCCGCCAGCAAAGTTTGCAGTTGCCAATTTGGAAGTGTGTCATGTGATTCAAGTCAAAGCCCTGGGACATTTTTCTTTGTATCTCTGGTATATGGAATATGTTTGTGGAAACAAATGACACCTGATCTTTCAGCTGAGCTTCTCTGCACTTACACTTGCTTTCAACTGACATATTCTAATATAATTTATATTTAAGTCACTTAATCTTATAAGCAGTGAACCCGTGATGGAAGCTAGGGGATAATGAACTATTGCTAATTGCTAATAAGAGACTGCAAGAAGCATTCCTTTAATCTGAAGTTCATAGAGATGTCCCCAGTAGAGTGCCGTGAAGTATAGTTTATTGCTTTAACAACTGGCATGTTCCACGAGGATTCATGTGAATTTGTTAGAGGAGAATATTTCATTATTTCATTAATATATTTCAATATATTAGCTTCTTATCCCCGAACAGCCACCAAACATCTGCTTTACCAACAGTATGGTTTAAAAACCAGTGCACTTCACATGCATCAGTGTCAGTAACCCAAGTTCCAGCTTCCATTAGCCCTTGTGAAGCAGGTGTAGTTTCCGGGATATGGTTCTACATCACGAGGGACCTGCAGGAAACAGATAGTGGTGAGTGTGACAATTAGTATCATAAGTGATTGAAGAGTTTTGGAACGGCAGTAAAACATCTCAGAACTGATGGACTATTATTACTGTCCAGTTTAAAAGGCACCCTCCTAAGCAATTGGAGACTTTAGACTGTGGGGCTGTCCAAAACATTCAGTCTAGCCATACATTTTTGTCTGATCATCATGTGGCCATTGTAGCCTTACTGCTTGGAGGTCCTGCACTAACCTCCATCTTTGTGATAGGGATGCTTTCTTTACAGGAAACAGGTGTATTACACATGGAATCTGGGCACTCTTTTACCCCTGCCTTATTTAAATCTTCTGCTTCTTTTTTTACTGGGTACTTTCTTTGGTGAGACCTATAAAATGATTTAGGGGGTATTTTTACTGGTTCTATTCCTTTAATATGTCCAACATCCGTGGACCCCTTTGACAACAATGTGTCTGGAATGTCTTTGTGTGATTTCTCCTCTTCTGTTGTAAGAAAACCATGGATACCTGTCACTATCCCCGGTCATCTAGATGTATTTCTTTTCTTATTTTTGTGCTCCAGTTTAACCTGGTAACATATGCTTTCAAAGAGGGAGAGTACTGTACGCCTGGGTGTCTCTTTTCTTCAGCCCAATCCCTTGTTTCCTCAAATCTTGTTACAAAGGCTTCTAAATCCTGCCACCTCTCAGTTTTCCTTTTCGCTAATGACACGTTAGGAGCTTCAAATCCTCTGTACTGGCCTTTTTCTTCAGGGCCTAATTTACAGGCCACCACTATGCTCCCTTCCAATATAAAGCTGTGAGGAATAAAGGGGCACTTTGGGTTTGAAGAAGTTTCTGCTCATAAGCTGCATCTGAGCCCGGGTCGTCTTTGTAAGACATGGTGCAGTGTATGCCTATTGTGTTTTGGATGTCTGTGTAAGGTCCTGCTCTGCGTCGTGTCATGTCATGCAACTGTGGTGTCACACTGCTGGGGCCACTTGGTACTATGTCCAAACTATACCAGTACCTGGGTGTTTTTGGTGAGAAATGTACAAATGTATCTGTACCATTTTTGTTCATCCTGTCCACCTTGGTCCCATTAACCCAGGTAATACGGAGTTCACCTGAGCAACTGGTCCGTGGTCCGGTGGATTTTGTTGTCACTGTGAGATTTTCCCCTTTGTCTCAACTGGAGACACTGGTCAGTCACACACAAACCATTTTAAATAGCTAGTCTTTTTTCCAATTTAATTTTATTTTATGGTTATTTATTATTATTAACATGCACAAGCCCTCAAGTGCCTGACTCCTAGTAATAGGCCTACTTTATTTTCCACTCGAGGTTCCGTGTTAGTGGCCCAGACCGCTTGCTCCCAATTCAAGTTGCTCCTCTGGTTCATGGATCTTGTCACACTTCTAGTTGCTTCTGCTCCCGGCCTCTATGTCCTCAAACGGTGTTTTTAACAACACTGGGGGGGGGGGGGGGGGGGGGGGGGGGATCTTTGATTGTAAGGAATCCCAGACACCCCTGTGCTTGGTCTCGGTCGCGTTCCCGAGGCGAGTGGGGTAGATGGATCTGACTCGAAGGACCAAACTGTCAGAATAAAACTAAACAAAAATAAGGAAAAGTCAAGAACTGGAGTGTTTGTTCTTGCAAGGGACCAAAAGCATCGCTTTTGCATCGCACAAGGTTTCATGCAAGGGGTCGAAGGGGGAAGTCCCCAGTGAGCTTTTTATTAAACTTTGTTAATCCGACCCTCCTTTGCCTTAAGACTGTCACACAATAACATTTTTCCTTCTACAGGCTTCTCACGAGGACAGTTATGAGTGTGTGTACTGTAATGAGCAGATAACTTTTTTAAAAAAAAACTGGGCATACTTCCAATCACTAAGCGCACTGAGTTTATCCTTCAGTATCATACAGCTCATACTAATTAGAAAACACTGCATAGGATATTTTTTCCAAAATGGAGCCTCAATTTATATGAACAAATTGGAGTCTATTAGACAGATATGATTCAAACCACTGCAGCGCAGTGCCTTTAATACCCACAGCATTCTCTAATCACAGTAATAAAATGTTATGGTTAACAGTATCAAATGCTGCACTGAGGTCAATGACAAGCACTGAGATGAGTCCACTGTCAGAGGCAATAAGAAGATCATTTGAAACCTTCACTAAGGCTGTTTCTGTGCTGTGATGGGCTCTGAAACCTGACTGAAACTCTTCAGATAAACCATTCCTCTGCAGATGATCTGTTAGCTGTTTGATAACTACTCTTTCAAGGATTTTTGAGATAAAAAGAAAGTTGGAAATAGGCCTTACCTAGGATGACTACTGCCAGCTTGAAGGCATGTGGTACATAGCTGGTAAATAGATTTAGGCTCATCATATTTAAGATTGAAACATTGACACACATTAATGGCAGGAGGAATGGGGTCTAAAAGACACGTCGATGGTTTGGAGGAAGTAATTACTGAAGTTAACTCGGAAAGATCAATTGAAGAAAAAGACTCCATCAATGGTACTGAAGGTAGCTGTAGATAACGTTACATATGTGAGATGATTATGAGTCGTTTTTTTCCTAACGGTTAAAATTTAATTTGTGAAGAAGTTCATGAAGTCATTACTAGTGAACGTTAAAGGAATGGTTGGCTTAACAGTGCTCTGACTTTTTGTCAGCCTGGCTACAGCGCTGAAGAGAAACATAAGGTGGTTTCTATTTCCTTCAATCCGTGATAATAGTAAGATGTCCTAGTTTTCTGAAGGGCTCTTTTTTTTTTTTTTTACATGCAGTGGGCATTCAGTCAGACCTTCTCTTGGTTGGTTCTAACACATTTTTTAAACAACAATGCATTGTGTAATGAATTAGCTTTCCCAGACTGTCACCACCTCTCTGTCCCTCTTACTTTGGACTGATGTTAGCACCATTATTTTCAAAATAATTTCCAACAGCTACTTTCCAGATAGTTCTGTGAAATTCTCTTGCAGGGCAGGTTTAAAAAAACAAACAAAAGTACATTAAATGTTTTGGATGCCATTGAAATTTACTCCATATGCTGCAGTATAATTTAATTGCCTTTTTATAATATATACTGACTCCACTTTATCTTCTCAGGTATTGGATATGCAACCCAGGTAGTGATTGCATATGCTGCTGTTTCATACATTGTGATCCAGGCATGGGCTTTCTTCTACCTCTTTTCATCCTTCAGTGCTGAGATTCCATGGGCTAGCTGCAGGAATTCCTGGAATACAGGTAGCTATTCAAAGCGAAGGAAGATTTCACTGTGGTCATTCTTTATTTCAGAGTTATTGACATGGTGATCTAGATGATTTGGGGAATCTCACATGACAGTGAGGTCATTTTGTGCTTGACAAATGTGTAGTCTCTAATATCTCTTTTATCAAACATAGATTAAACTTTGTTGACATGGCTCTGCTTTTTTCTTTGTCAGAGTCTTGTTTTGAATTTGATAAAGCAAATGCGTCATCCAACTGGACAGCAGCTGCAAACGCAACAACACCAGCAACAGAATTCTGGGAGTAAGTGTAAATGACATGTGTCTGACCTTGGTAGATGGATTTACCTCTGGAGCTTTTGCCGAACACTGAAGCCATCAGTCCCTAAATTTCAACAACATATATTTGAGTTATTGGAAAGCAGCATTTCCATACTGGTTAACCAATAGCTGCTCATTATTTCTCAATAGTTATCAGAGTAAGCAATCTGTATACACATGGTAACCACACTACATAATCAGTCCAAATACAATTTCCTGATTGTTAATCTGGAACATCCATCTTTTTAGCTCTCATTGTCTTTAGATGTGTTCTTGTAATCTGGTACAGATGTAAGATCCTTTTTGGGATGGATGCTGATAATTGGCGATAATACCATCAAGTCATTTTTGTGTTGGATTATTCAGATACTGATTAGGTCACATCGTGTTTAGTCATAACACACGGCTGTACACAGCTGTACGCTCATCTGGCCCAGTCTCGATTCTCAGTGTTGATAAAAATTATGAACTCGCCAAATATCAAATTATGTAACTGCTTGAAATATCACTTTGTACCACATACAGCATACCACCTTTGTGCTATTGGATGATTTTAATCATGATACTGTTGGCCACGATTATGGAAGGAGTGGTCCTATTGATATAGTCAATATTAAGAAGGTATGATTGGTGCCTTCTTATCACCATGTATGTCATAAATGTACTGACATCAGTAATGTGATCAGTGGCATGCTGATACTTTTGTGGCCAAGATTACTACTAATCATATACTCACAACAGTCCTGAACTTAAACACTTGGCGCTGAATGAGTTTAAGTTGCCCCTGATATGACTGGTTACAGCCAACTAGTGACTTCACACATTAAAATGCAGCAAATCTCTATGTATCAGTTTGTTCACAAACTCCTCTTACATGGTCATAAGTTATGCAACCAAACTTGGCTGCTAAAAGTTCTTATCTATTTTACATATTATGATTCATCATGTTGCCTAGTAACCACCAAACAACACAATGCAAAATGAGTCATTTACAGTGATTATAACACCTTATCATTTTAACTCCATGACAGTAACATGTCATTTACTGAATATAATAAAAGTATAATCATTTCTGATTCCTTTTCATCTGTGGTGTTTACTGTATAAGTATTGCACTGTATCATTTGATACATTAATTGATTAAATCAAGGTTCCAGTATTTGGGATTTTACAGTATTGTGCAAATGTCTTGAGCCACCCCTCATTGTTTATATTTTTCCAAGTTGCCAGATTTTATTGTAGTTTATTTTATTTTATTTTTTTTATTTTTTAAGTGCTCAATAGTTTTGAAAGTGAAAGTCTGAAAGTCTTTCGAAGTGTTTCTTTGTTGCTTCTTTGTTGCTGTGTTACTAACTACTAAACACTGTCATCAATCATTTAGGTGTAGAAAAAGCACCTAACTCTGAAATGATATCTTTAGGCACTTTGTGACTAGCAGCCTGTCACAAAAATACACTTTTGTTGGAATTAGACAAGTGGATAAAAGAAGACGTATCAGAACTAAAAGACTATCTGTAGAATTGCATTCTAAATAAATACCTTGAACATATTTTAGGTAATGAGATTTGAATCCACTGAATTTGTTGAAATTATGTGCATTTTATATCTATATAGATAAATAAGGGAGGTTAGTGTCTGGCTGATGGGCAACTACATAACTGACTTTCTGGTTTATTGTAAATAAATATTGTAACATTTGCATTGTGTCAACTCTGTTATCACTTATAGTAGTTGTGAAAAAAGTTCTTTTGCGCCCAAATGGCTTTTGTTTTAACAAATAATATGGGTTTCTTTTCAGGAGAAGAGTACTGGGTATATCTCAAGGGATTGAGGAGATTGGTAGCCTGAGGTGGGATTTGGCCTTGTGTCTCTTACTGGCATGGATCATTTGTTACTTCTGTGTTTGGAAAGGAGTGAAGTCCACTGGAAAGGTAGAGAAACATCTTTAAAATATGATTTATTAGTCTACATTTAGAAAATAAGTTCTGTAAACACAGTTTATACATCTACTATCACATCTGCGGTACCTTTTGAAGTAATATTGCAAGAATACATTTGTGAACCCTTGGAAAATACCAGGATTGTTTTAATTGGTCACTGAAAAGAAAATTATCAGAGTCACATCCAAGGTCTGGTTGCTGAAAGTTTAATCGTCTCATATAAATTTGTTGGTGGGAACATATACTTCAATCAAAAGAACCTTCATAGGACCTTAGAAGGACAATACAGAAATACATACAAGCTGGAGTTTATCAGGATGTAACAAGGCAAAAGTTCAGGACTGTTGGTACTCTCCCTGGGAGTGGCTTCCTGTGTAGATTACACTACTGCAGTAGTGTAATCTACACATCTCTTTTAGAATTGCACATGTGCAATTCTAAAAGAGATGAGTAAGAACCTAAGGTAACAGCAACCCCCTCTTAAGTTTCAAAGATCACATGGTTCCAGTATTGCTTAATGTTCTGTGAACAGCTCAAACTAAATCTGAACTCTTTGGGAGGAGGCACAGGGATGTATTTGGAGGAAGAGGAGTTACACCTAAATGCAGACAGCAGTCATGTCTCATTTTGCAAGCAAAAAAAGAGAGACAATACTATGGCACAAATGAGGAATGTATTGTCTGAAATATGTTTAGATGGAAAAAAAAATGTTTTCTTACACCAAAGAACATCAAACTTTACACTGTCCCTGTGATGTCTGCTTTGAACCATGCATTTCCTTCTTGTTGACAGGTAGTTTACTTTACGGCCACTTTTCCCTACGTGATGTTGGTGGTTCTGTTAGCTCGTGGACTCACTTTACCAGGAGCCATAAACGGCTTAGCTTTTTACCTGTATCCTGACCCCACAAGGTTGGTGGACCCTCAAGTAAGTAATAGGATCAAAACAATGTGTCAATACCAAGAAAAGCTGCAAGCTTGCACGCTACCCACGGAAGCCTAAATACTAAAATACCTACATTTTACACAATGAATATCATCATTTAGTGATGAGTAAACTAATATCTGTGTGTTGGCATCAGGTTTGGATGGACGCGGGTGCACAAGTCCTTTTCTCCTTTGGGATTTGTCAGGGGAGTTTGACGGCTCTGGGCAGTTACAATAAGTATAACAATGATTGTTACAAGTGAGTACGCTCCCCCGCCCATGTTCTTAAATTAAAAAAAATATGCTCAAAAATTCTAGTAATCTTATTGTTATGACAAGATAAAACTGCACTAAACAGATGTTTTCAACGTTATTTAATCCCTGGCCACTTAGTTTTAAAATAGCCAGCAGGGAGCACCAAAGTGATACTTTCATAAAACTGCACAGGCTTTCTTAATAACATGCAGACTGTAAATAAAAAAAGTTTACATAATGCTCAAATCCTGTACAACTTTTTTCTTCTTACTTAATATCTTGGGCAGCAAGGTACTTTTTTTTCATATTTCAACATTTTAAACAGCTGCTTTTGCTTTAAGTGTGTTTCTTGTTTTGCTCTTTGTTGAATGCTGTGTGTTTTCTTCTGTCTCCACAGAGACACATTTGTTCTGTGTTTGGTTAACGGAGGATCCAGTTTTGTTGCAGGGTTTGCAATCTTTTCTGTTCTGGGATTTATGTCCTACGAACAAGGACTGCCAATATCAGAAGTGGCAGCTTCTGGTAGGGCAGTCATTACACAACTTCTGTTATATTTAATGAAGTCATTACACTGTCAGTGGGTTTTATTAATCCACTTTAAAATACCCCCCCCCCCCCCCCCCCCCAAAAAAAAAAAAAACAACCAATCAACCAAACAAAAAAAACCCAACCAAAATCAAGGCAAAACAAAGCAATGCTAAATGGAAAAGCTGGGCCTGTGTTTTTACTTGGCATGGAAATGGCTTTAATTTAATTTTGGAGACAAAATTCCTGTATTAGCTTCTCTTAGCTAAGCACGGCTAATACAGTAATTCCCCGCCTTTAATCCTGAACAGTCCTCCTGACCTTAAACTCCTTCCAATGAAATAAATGAATGCTATCAGGTCATTATGCCTAACAGTAGGATGTTGCAAGAATTTGTGAGTCCAGATTTAAAACATTTAGAGTGCTGTAACTAAAATATAAATTGGGAGAAGGCTGCAGTAAGCAGTTTTATCCAAAAATATTTAAGTTGCCATCAATGACTGAAAATATTTCTGAACAGGACCTGGCTTGGCATTTATTGCCTATCCGCGCGCGGTAGCCATGATGCCTTTACCTCAATTATGGGCTATATGTTTCTTCATCATGGTCATCTTGTTGGGGGCAGATACACAGGTTTGCTTTAAGCCAATAGAAATCCTGTTTATTTTTCACCACTGTACATGTTTGGTTCTTAGTAAATGTGTTTGATTTGTCTGCGTCTCTTGCAGTTTGTGAGTTTGGAGTGTTTGATGACCTCAGTGACGGATATGTTCCCCAATGTGTTTCGAAGAGCTTATCGTCGAGAATTGCTGCTGCTCTGCCTCTGCTCTGTTTGCTTTTTTCTCGGCCTCCTCCTCGTCACCGAGGTGAGAGCTCTGATTAACTTTCCCACAAGTCTTTACACTACCCTCAGTAGGGTGTAAAAATGGACCAGTGCTCATTACTCTTAACTTACTTCTTTCTAGGCAAAACTGAATTTGTATGCATGCATTTGTTGTCTTTATCTTTGATTAGCTATACCAATTAACCTCTCTGTCTTCCTGCAGGGCGGCTTGTATTTCCTTCAACTCTTTGATCATTATGTGTGTAGTGGAAACAATCTTCTCCTTCTTTCTGTGTGTCAGTCAATAGCGATTGGATGGATATATGGTGAGTCATTAAAATCCGAGAGTCAAATCCTTGCATGTTTGCACAGATCTGGCTAAGAAAGCTGATTCAAATCCTGCTAATCCCACATTAATTGAAAATACACTTAAGACTGCTTTTATTGAGTCGCTTATTACTAAAAGGCCAAAATTTAGGCTTACTGTATAGGCGTTCATTCCAGCTATTCTGAATCTTGCTCAGCTGGGGTCACAAGAATAAGCCGTGTCTTGTGGGTACTGGCTCAGCACCACTTTACCAGCAGCTTCACTTTTTAAACACTTTCTATTGAGGTGGAGTTTTCCCTTCAGGCCCAGTCCAACAGCACAATTATGTGAAGTTAGTGTTAAAAAAAAGCTCTCAAATTAGTTAGAGGTTAAAATTATGACCACTAACTACTGCATTCTTCCAGAGGCTCATCTAATATTTCCTATATCTCCCTCTTGCTAACTAAGGAATTCGTTAAATCAGTGGTTCTCAAATTGTGAAACAGAGTGACAGGTGGGGTTCTCACCTTTTGTTTATGTACTCATGTTGAAATGTTGTTGTTGATGCTTTGCTCTTTTCATTTTTAGCTTTTTTAGCAAATGTTTGGACATTTGCCTTGTGAAAAAAACTGCTTGTGTTTACTGCCACTGGCTGAAACATAACCTGAAGGCATAATGGATCCATCCTACTGCTTAACAGCTGACATGTGTTGTGGCTAGAAAGTTCTGCTTTAACTTCATGTACCCATAGGACTTTCTCCGTTTAGCCTAATTTAGATATACAAACTTGCAAACCTCTGATGCTGAATTTAGTGTCGATTATGCATAAAAGTCTTGTGGTTTGGCAGGTGTTGCTAGAGGTTAGGTTTTCTTTCACACATCAACTTCCTTTTAACTACCATTTGTTAATAGTGTTGCAAACTAAAGATACCTGGAAATCCGTCCTATAGCTTTTTCCTACTTTCCTTGCATCATTTGTCTTAATATTAAAAATACTAAGGAGCTACTTAGATGAGCCAGTGGCTGCTGATTGATTGGCTGATGTGGAACTTGTAACCTTGGTAATCATCTGAGAGATCAAGCTAAGCTTGCCTAAACCTTTGCATGGTTTGGTTAGCTCTAAAATTGTACAAGATGTGTACAGTGTGCCCGTTATTTACTAGAAGCAATGGCCTGAAACATTTCTATTCATGTGATGGAAGAAACTGATGCTTAAAGATAATGTGCGGGATAGTGCTGAGGTTATTTAGACTGGAGAAGATGTGGTCATATTTTGTATGTTCAAAAAAATTAATATGCAGACCTTCATTTTACTGTTTTTCTTTGTGCTTTAACTAAATGTGTCATTTTCAAATGCATTTAGTGTTCCTTATGTGTGTACTTTGTGGCACCAAATCAGCTGAAAGTAGTGATTCTTTGAATGTGAATGAACGCAAAAGATCTAAAGAACACTAAACATTCAACTATAACAACACATCTGCAATGCATGAACAAAGTTTTATGGACCGCCTCACAGTGTTTCCTGGTTAGGATGAGAAAAACATTTGGTGTGTGAAGCGGTGATGTCAGCTGATATCTTCATTCATATCTAAGTGTAAATATTGTTATTAAACTCTTTGTGAGACGGTGATGCTCAACTAGGACCGAACCACTGGCACCACGGTGTCAATAATCATAATGTGTCAGATAAATTGGCAAATACTGATTGCACGACTGTTAAAAATCAATTGTCATCTACTGACATCGTACAGCTATCTTATTTAGGAACAGTGATGGGAATAACGGCGTTACAAGTAACGGCGTTTCTAACGGCATTACTTTTTTCAGTAACGAGTAATCTAACTAACGGTAATCACGGTCACTGTCTTGCACAACACCTGGAGCTAAGGAGGCAAAACAATCGCATGAGTGCTGCTGTTTGACTGAGGAAGAATAAAGTAGTCGTGGTAAGCCAATCACATGACCACTTCAACATGACAAAGCAACAAGGTGATATATACCAGTTTTTAAATTGTGTTGATAGGCCACGTAAAACCAGAGTCATGATAAACAATATATAGGCGGCGCTTTTTCCTCAATAGTTTTGTCACGTTTACTGTCTAAGGACAGCGCTAGCAAGCACTCTCTGCTTATGAGCAAAACAAACAAACAAACAAACAAACAAACAAACAAACAAACAAACAAACAAACAAACAGGGGAAGTTTTAGGAGTGATGGAGAGAGAGAGAGAGAGAGAGAGAGAGAGAGAGAGAGAGAGAGAGAGACAGCAGAAAAAGAGAGAGAGCGAGTTTTGAGACGTGAGAGATTTGTGAATTTAGCGTGTTTGGAGTGTGTAGTTAATGTGTTGTCTTGTGTAGTTAGTGTGTAGTGTTGTGGATAGTTTTGTGTTGTGTATCAGAACAATGAGGCGACTGCTGTCTCCAGGTAGAAAAAGGATTGATACACCTGCTGCTGTCAGGCCTGCAGGTATCAGGCTGTGATGTTCTCCTTTATAGTGGACAGAAATTATTGTTTTGGAGTGGCACAAATAATTTGTGTGGCATCTTATTGAATGCAGAACAGCTGATTGTTATGTAAATAGTTTGAAATGGTTATTTAAAAAATCAAGGTAAAAGGTAAATGGATGCAAATAACTTTGTTTGCAAAACTTGTGCATAGGATTTTAAAATTGACAATTTATATTTGCATTTAAAGTTCTGAAATATGATTCATTAAACATGTTTGTGGTTGTTACAGTACAAATATAACTTTTCTACTCTGATTTTATGTTGTTTGTGTGATTTTAGATCAATTGTGTTAATACAGTATGTCAAAATGAAAAGATGACTGTAAATTCAGACACGTGAGGTTGTGCTGAAAAGGATGAGACCAAACAAGGCAAAGTAAATCGTTTTTAAAGGTGAAATGTGGAGGGAAAATCAAAAGTAGTTAAAAATGGCCAATTATACCCTGGACCCCAGAGGGTTAAACATTTTTTTAAAGTAACACAATAGTTACTTTCAAGTAATTAATTACTTTTAGAATATTGTAACTCAGTTACTAACTCAGTTAGTTTTTTTGAAGAAGTAGCTAGTAACTATAATTAATTACTCTTTTAAAGTAACTTGTCCAACACTGTTTAGGAATGACTTTCACTGTTTTGGTTGACTTTGTAGAAAGCATTTTATGATTCTATTCATTAATAACTCTTATGATTTTATTATTATTTTATCAGTCCTGGTAAAATTTATAGTGATAATTCTAACCTTGTTATTAACTTCTCATGTTTTGCTCAGGTGCTGATCGTCTTTATGACAACATTGAAGACATGATAGGTTATCGTCCCTGGCCTCTAATGAAGCATTGTTGGCTTTACGTTACCCCTGCTGTGTGTCTAGTGAGTGAAACAGAGTTCCTAAGAACACAAGTAGTCTAATTTATTCATGAAAACTTGTGGACTCTTTTTGTGATAAAGCACCAAACAACAATTGAAAGCTAAAACTTCCTCTTCTAGTTCAGGAAATAGTTTGAGGTGAGGAATGAACAAGAGATGCAAGTGAATAAAGAAGAGAAAAAAGTGTCCATAACCTTCCAGTGTCATTGTGGCATATGACTCTGTGATAAACTGTGCAGGGTGCACCCTGCTGGTGATACACTAAAACTAGTATGAGACAGTTATACGAATATGGTGGCGAGAGATAGGAAAAGTGGGGGGAAAAAAGAGAAAATCTACTATAGTTGTATTTCATTATTAATTATTGTGTGTGTTTGTTTTCATTTATTTCAGGATTATTTTTTAGAGACAGTTCACAAAAACAGTCATCTCAAGATGTATTTTATTGCATAATGCAAGGACCCTACATTATCACACTATGAACAGCCAGCAAGGCAAAGCAGAAACTAAAGGACTTGTAGACAAATGTCAATGAGCATCGTGCCAGATAAATATGTCAGCAGGGAAAACAGGGGTTTGGAGGGAAAGTGACACCAGCATCTGCAAGCAAGATGTTTCTTGACCAAAAATCAAATTCTTTAATAACTTATTTTAGATTTGCTGACAATGAAGGAACAATGAATCCACAGAAAATATTCCCAGATGAAGAGAACACAAATCAAAAGTATCCATATACATTTAGAGTAACTGTAGATAACCTATACTTAGCAACCTATACTCATTGTACTTTCCCTGGTGATGATAAAGATTTTTCTAAAACTGAATTTCTTTTAAAATTTCAAAACTTCATTGTTGTGTTGTTTGTGTTTCTTTCAGGGTACTTTTGTCTTTTCAATTGTGAAATATAAGCCTCTCAAGTTCAACAAAACCTACGTCTATCCGACCTGGGCGTACGCTTTGGGCTGGTTTCTTGGACTGTTCTGTGTTCTTCTAGTTCCTCTGTGGATCATCTTTAAAGTTACTACAATGAAAGGGACAATTTGGCAGGTATGCACTCAGTAAAGAAAACAGGAGCACCACCGAAACACCATTAAGCTCCCAGGTGATCTTGTTACTAATTCAGTTCAGTTTAGTGTTAAATGTTTTTCCACCATGACAAGTGCAGTCAGGCTAAGGTAGTGTGGCGGATGGATCAAAACAGTGTCCATGCTTGGATTCAGCAGTGCTGTGTGCATGTCTCCTCTTGTTACTGGTGCCGAACAAAATATTTTAAAAATCTAAAACTATATGAGCTTTTTAATCTGCCAACACATCAGAATGTTCTTTTCTTTAACTAACAGCCCAACACATTCAAGAGCATTAAACCTTACAATTCTGTAGTTTAAAGTAAAAGCTTTTCACATCAGTGTCCTTAAAGTTGCAGCCTCTCTGACACAAGTTATTAACACAGACAGTTCAGCAACTCATCTTAGGCCAAAAACATTAGCAAAGCTGGGCACCAGACAACAAAATACTTCCTGATGGATTACCTTAAACTTTAATATGCTTTTGCTGCCAGAAAAGCCAAAAGGCCGTCATTAGATTGGACTGGCTGAAAGGTCACTGAGTTAAAAAAAAAAATGCTCCAGTGTCGTTCAGATAAGATATCCATCTGGAAACATGTAAGAATAATGAAAAATCAGGGGCTCAGTAAAGTTATCCCCTACATCCTGTGTGGGGGCATTAATATCTGTACTAAATCCCATCACAATCCATCTAATAGTTATTAAAACATTTCCATTAGAAGTCCTGAGTTCATTCTGGTGTTAGAGGAACAGTCAGCAGATCAAGTAGAAGACTCCCGGCCATCATCCTGTCTGTTAAACTGTAAACTTGTTCATTTTCAAAATTCGTAGAACAAACAAATTAGCAGTAATCTAATCAATAGTGAGGGACACTGGGGAAGCTGTAATAGGTGTTTGGTCATTTCTGCACATTTTGAAAAGTTATGATTTATTGCAAATGGACTGAACTGATCGTCTTTCCACAGAACCTCAGGCAGCTGTGCGTCCCGCAGAGCTTGACGCACAGAAAAGCAAAGCAGCCCGAGCAGTGCCCTTTAAACCCAGACATTACTCTTACTCCTGTTGCCAACGAATACAAGGGAAGAGGTGGAGCTGAGATGGAGATGCAAGTCTGAAAACCATAACATTTTTATAAATTTTTCAGATGTGATGTTTTTATTTTATTTTAAACTCAAGGTTTTGTAAAGGAAATACTGATAAGATCATTAATTCCGAAGACTTCTAGCAGAGTTCAGAGGCAGGTCGAGTTTTGAGAGACCGTGTAGACTAGTGACTAGCGAGGTAACTTTATTCCCCGCTACATTTTTTGTCTTGCTAGCAGCAATCAGTTTCAAATCATTCCAGTGTTTGGTTGGCTCTTATTTAGCACCACAATCCTCAAACAAAAGCACTTGAGCCTTGTAGTTGACTTTCACATTAGATTGCCACAAACACTGCCACAATTTCTGCTGATTGATAGAATTCATAACTGTAACTGTGTTGAAATGTACTTTTAATAATGTGGCAATAATATTGATAAGCCTATTAATGTAGGCAGCTGGAAAAAGTTTTTCTAAATTTTCTCCTGCATCTATGCTGAATCTGTCTTACACTGCCTGGTCAAAAAAAGAAAGAAAGAAAAGCAACCACCCGTATTTAAATAAGCAAGCTGGTAAGAGAATGATGGTGAACCATCATCTTGGGGAAAAAGGATGAAATTTTTTCATCTTGGGAAAAAAGTTTTATGAAGCTAACAGCATTTCCACATTGTTAAGACAGTACAAGTTGTGTGGCTTTAGGAAAACTACTTATCAGTGGTCAGCTGACTACCGCTGATGTACTGAATTGCCATCAATGTGATTTTTTTTCTCATGATTCTGAGAAGACAAATCGAGGATTCAGCAACTCTGAAAGATTAGATTAGATGAAACTTTATTAATCCCTCGGGTGGGTTCCTCTGGGAAATTCAGTTTCCAGTAGTGCAGCACCGACAGAAGTTGCATGTTACAATAAAGGGGATTGAGAGTATGGATGTGAGCATATGTAACACGTGGCGACACTAAAGCGGTCGCACTAAAAAGAAAGATTCTTTAAAATACAAGGGGGAGCAAGAGAGTCAGATACCACGGGCACAGAGAGGAAGCAGGTCTGATCAGAAACAGTTTATTACTAGGCCAGGGAGCACAAATAAAAACACCCTTAAAATGCACATAATAAAATGTTGTCAATCTACTAAAACTAAATAAAACAATTCTAAAACCCGTAAAACTACCATTTTCTACATTCACCAAACCCCCCCCCCCCCCCTGGTATAATTATGCCACATGTTCATTATGGGTCCATCAGCAGGCCAGGAATTCCTTCTTTAGAGCAGAGTCCACGCCAGCCTCGTCTTCGGCAGACAAGAAAGAGCCTCCCATCTTCTTGTCCTTCCGCTGGCCCATCACTTCCCAGCCCGGCTTGCGTTCTGCTCCCAAATCCATCATGCGACCACCGCCACAGCTCCCATTGCATCGGTGTCCTGTAAAATAACAAATAGGGGCCAGAACAATGGTCCCAGAAGCGGCCCTGGCTCATGGCCATGGCAACCCTCTCCCAATCCAGCGGCACCCAGTAAACAACAGTAGAGACCCTACTCACAAATGCAGGCAGAGGTAAACCTCTGCCCTGCTGCCAATCACACGCGTTGTCTCTTACTGTTGCCGTTCCATGAGGTCAGGACTGGGTTGCCGCGTCACGCTGGCCATCTCGCATTAACCTTCCAGTCTGGGGCCTCTCTCCTTCAGTGCTCAGCTAGCCTGTTTTTAAAAGGTCTTTAGACAGCTGATAGGCCACCTCTGGACACACCCCTGCCTCAGCAGGTGGTCCCTATCAGCTAATTTGTCCCATGTGCAGCCAGTCCACAGTGGATAAAAAACATGTCACATAAAACACTAAAAACCATACAATAGAAACAGAATAAAACCATGCAAATAAAACGACACTCATAAATAAACACTAAAAATCAGAATAAAAACAATATACAAGATAAATACAAATTTCCACAGTGTGACACATAAATATACCAAATATGCACATATACACATATATAAATACAGAATATATAATATGGATGAATAGGAATACCAGTGGATTGCACATTTGAGTGAGTATATTGCACAGTGATTATTGCACAGTCAAATATAAGAAAAAATATTGCAAATATTGCACAGAGTTGTTTGTGGAACACGAGACAACATTTTCACACATGAATCAGCTGACACAATACAAGATCTTAGTGAAAAATTTGTGCAATTCTTGCCTAAGATTATGAAACGATACCATGGGAATTTGCGTTGTCATCAAAATTTGAAGCAATTCTAATAAAACATTTGAGTTGTTCTTGTTTTTTTGACTTGGCAGTGTAAAATTTTTAATGGCCTTTTTTATTGTTGTTGTTGTTGTTGAAAGTGTTACTTGCTCCCTTTGAAAGAAATATATTAATGTAATATTCTTGTGCCAAAAGTTCCCTTTCGATATGACGGCAACTCAACACTGAGTTGACTCGCCAACATCTCAGTTGCCTTCGTAGTGTCATATACCACAAACACCACTCAAGATGAGTTTGGGTTTGTTTAGTTTTTTAAATGACCACAGGGAAAATTAGTTAAACCACTTCGTAGTACAGCCCTCAGGTCTCTGCAACATGCACAATAAGCAATAATGTGTCACTGTGAGGCATAGAGCAATAACACACTTTTGAGATAACAAGGTTTGTGAAGTTTGCCAACACTTTTTTTCAGTAAAGGATAAAGGATTACAGCCTGTCACCTTGTTCAAGGATCAGAAGATGCAAATTATCACCGTCCACTGTGACCTCAGATTATTACACAATCTGAAAAAAACACAAACAAAAAAATCAAGTTGCAGCTGATGTGTGTGTGGATACAGTGAGCTCAACATATATTTTATACACTGACATGGTTTCTGTTATTTTAGCTGTGTGGGTAGGAAGATTTTATGTTACGTACAGTTATGAATTTGATGTAGACGTGGTTTTAGAGATTTAATGTGGGGGTTGGACAAAAATATTGCTTTAATCATTTACAAATTCTTGCAATAATTATATGTTGTCCGTCATCTTGAGGGGCTCAATTATAATTGCACTAAAGCCATTTCATTGATATGTGTGTGCTTTGTCTTTTCTTTCTTTTAAGTATATTAATTCTTCATACATCAAGCAGGTAAATGTTTGAGGGGTGTTCAGAAGGTGGCATTTGCATTTTAAGCTGCTGCTGAAAATTTACAACATGCAGTCAAAGATGCTACCAGTGAAAATGAATGAGTGATTTTTACATTGTTAAAACATTAGAAAGTCATTAAAGAGACAGTGAGAACATTAGAAGGTCAAATTCAGAGAAAAGAGAGAAAACAGTGGTGAGGTCTGCAAGATAGACCTACACATCCATGGAAGAGGATGGTTTCTGTGGCTGAAGAAGACTTTCCAGGAGCTGGGCATGTGATTGTCCAAGTCTATCGTAAAGATAAGTGGCTGCAAAGTGCAGTGGTTTACACATTCACTTGATGATTGAAAGGTTCCTGGTTTGAATCCAGCCAGAGACACAAATCCCTTCAGGGTTTGTCTGGTGTGAAACTTTCCCACATCAAACATGCTGAGGATCCTGCTGTGGTGAACCCTTGTCACAATGGAGTAGCCAAAAGTAGTTTCTTCTTATTGTTCTGACATAAAAAGAAGATAAAAGCTGGTTAAAACTAGAGATGGCACGATACCACTTTTTTATGTCTGATACCGATACCGATATCATAAATTTGGATATCTGCTGATACCGATATGAATCTGATATAGTGTGTTTTTTAATCAATAAAACTTTTTTTTAATATCTTGCTGCATTTTGTATAAGTTCATACTCAAGTTTAAATAAACAACAACACTAAAGCTATTCTGTTATACCTGTATGTAAAAAAATACACTGCACCCAAAATATTTCATAGTTCAGCAACACTGATCAATCTAATAAAGTTAAAACTACTCCATCCTTCCTATTCTGGTATTTTAAAGAGTACTTAGCAGAAATATTAAGCAACCTAACTAATAGGGTTGCAAACTCCCAGCAAAAGAAAACAGGGAACCACCACCCACCCTCCACCTCATGATGCTTAATCGATGTAATCAACTTTAATTTGATGCAGTGTGAAAAGATAAATGCACAGAATTAAATTATTTTTCAAGAATAATTAAATAGATTCAACATCTTTCTTCAACAGAATTGCAGACTGCACAGATGGTACCTTCCCAAAGGAAAAAGTACTATAGCTTACTAGGGTATATTAGACTTAACAGTTACTATATACAGTAATGGACTTCTATACATTTTACATCAGATTAAAACTTTGGGTGTAAGATTCAGATAATTATTTATTAAAAGCTAGACATTTTAAATGAGAATAAGAAAGAAAAGTATGTCTTTGTGCCCCCTTTTCCCTGTTAATGCCCTATCGGCCCCCTCTGGCTAAACTTTGCTGGATCCGCCCCTGCACAGTTACCAGCCGTCAGCTACATAGAAAAGGATCCTGGTGTAGAAACTAATATTAAATAAATTCTAACAGCTTATCAAACTTAAACGTGCTGCTGTTATTCAGCCGCTGGTTTCCTCTTTCTGGTACAAAGTGGGCCAAAAACAAACAAGAGAAACGGGAGTCGCGACAGAAAAGCCGATCAGCTGATCATTAAGCAGTTTCATGATTGAAGTAGCAGCAGGAGAGGGAGAGAGAGGCAGTTGCTCCATATATCGGGTGTTAAGCTTAACGTGGGAATGCTTTACAAACATTCAGAGATGAACTTACACACTTGCTTTACTTCTCTCTGGGATCACTTCCTCGGAGATGAAATGCTGGTTTGGTAGCAAGGCTACAAATACACACAGCCGCTCTATCACGTGAGCACACTGCTCCGACATGCTATGGTTATGAGGCGAGTTACGCCATGTCCCAAGTTTTGTAAGGTGCTTTTTTGATATTTAATAGATCGGATTACATTTTTTATTTCTCTCAAGAAAAGAAAGTTTAGATTAGATTTTGCCAAAAACTATCAACAGATAAAACTGAGCTCCTACCTTACCAGAAGGACAGGTATAAAAAACGATGGAAAACTCATGATCAGAAGAAAATAACAATACCTGAAAAACAAGGTGCAAAGCTATACTTTCTGCACAGGTTCAGTGAAATGCAGCAAAGCTGGTGGACAATAACCTGGAGCAATCACAGGGGTTTTGCATAAGTCTTCACCATGCTGAGCATGCTTTACACTCGCAGAAGACCAACAAAAAAGTCACAAATCAAGACAGCTGCATTAAAGCATCACAACGGAGGAAATCAGTGGCGATATCAATGGGTGCAGGTAACCATTTACTGCAAGAATTCTCAATGAAGTATAAAAAATAAGAATTTTATTTATTATTTATTGTCTTCATTTAGATTTCATTTCTTGATAAAAGTGGACTATGCATGAAAATGGCTCTTTATCAGCAGTTAATGCTGTGTTTTTGTCCATCCCCTTAAATTAAAGTTACAAATCTGTAAGTCTAGGTTCATCATAGTATTGTCTTTAATATGATTTAATAATCAACTTAAATAACATCAAATTATGTCAGTGTCCAAAAATATTTGCATCTAACTGTAAAAATGATTTTTTATTATCTGTCTTTAATGGCAATCCACGTCATATTTCTTATATTATTTACATTATTTATGCACATTTGTTTTTATACTAACCTGTAATTTGTTGATACAGGTTATTACAGGATTGTTATTTTTTATTACTTGTAATTTGTTATTAATTTGTTATTACATAAGTCTAAGTGAACTTCTAAGCAACAAATTACGTCTACATTTTGGTTTGGTGTATCAGCTTGTTCCCACAACACTCTCTGTATTTGTGGGATATGTACAATCACCATGTAGTTTATTTGATGGAAACATTTTTTGAAGCCTTTTAATTGCATGCATTATGTACTTAATATCAATACCTTTCTAACATGGCACAGAGGTTTTTTACAGGGCTTTGCAAAAACAAAAATTAATAATAGTAATAATAATAAATAAGTAAACTTTTGCAGTGGCGAGCTAGTTTGAGCTTCCTGTCCTGCTGTTCTGGAATACTGATTGTCAGAAAAACAATTATGGTGGACTCATTGCATATTTAAAATAAATTTGCCACCCTGATTGTAAAGGTAACAGTCTTCTTGTGTATTCTAAGCCACACAGTCTGCAAAAGTTTATCAACCCCACATATTACTGAGTGCTCAGAAATTTTTTTTATCACGTTTTATTTTTTGACACTTTCAGCATAAGGTTTGTTAATACATGTCGCTGTTGGTTATAGAAGTTTTTCAGACTGGCTTAACTATACTGGTGTGTGTGTGTGTGTGTGTGTGTGTGTGTGTGTGTGTGTGTGTGTGTGTGTGTGTGAGAGAGAGAGAGAGAGAGAGAGAGAGAGAGAGATGCTGCATTCAGCACTATTTGCATAACAAATTACGCAAATTAAATATGCAAAAGTACAGCTGAAAAGAAAATAAACAGGAAGAAAATCAGGATAAATATTTATTTGAAAGTTATACAGAACTAATGACAGAGACTGGCCTTTATTAAAAATATGATCATATTAAATCATTACGTTTTTATCTTTTCGTAAAAAACATTGTAATTACGTCATTAGATAATGTAAAAAAAATGATTTTATAAACTTGAATTTGCACTCATGAATGTGTAACAGATCTTTGTGACACTGAGTTAAAAACACTATTCCGCCTGTGGCTTTATTGAAGAAGGCGTATTTGAGCCACATTAAGAAAAAAAATGACTTTCGATCATTTTGATTTTCAGATTAAAGTCGTAATTGTATTTCGAGAAAAAGTCAAAATGTGTGGAGATTACAGTTGTTGTTTAAAGCTGCCAAACAGTAATCTCCACATTTCGTTTTCTTTCTTAAATGATCATCCATACACACACACACACACACACACACACACACACACACACACACACATATCCATCCATCCATCTTCATCCGCTTTATCCCAGGCAGGGTCGCGGGGGCAGCAGCCTAAGCAAAGACGCCCAGACCTCCCTCTCCCCAGCCACCTCCTCCAGCTTATCCGGGGGAACACCAAGGCGTTCCCAGGCCAGCCGAGAGATATAATCTCTCCAGCGTGTCCTGGGTCTGCCCCGGGGCCTCCTCCCGGTGGGACATGCCTGGAACATAGTATATATATATATACAGGGACGTGCAGAGAGGTTTAAAGGGGCGGGTGCTCAAAGTTAAAAAGGGGCACATTGAACCATGCTGAATAACAACAACACACATTCATCAAGAATCTAATATGGGAAGGGCAGGGCTGTGTTGATCTGAGACTGTAGACATTAAAAAGTCCACAGGAGAGATGGTAGCTGATTAAACAAGTGTCATGAGATAATAACAAAATGCAAAGATTGGTGACAGCGCTTGGAACCATAAGGCAACGAAAAACTGTGACATAAACTCGGCTCTGCCTGTGAATCACTCTTTGCTTCTCTTCTTCCTTCCTTCCCATCATTTCATATATCACTCTCCACTTGCTGTTTATCTGAGAACAAGGCACAACTTGCTATTGCAATAAACTATAATCTAATTATCCACACCTAACAACTCTTGCACTTAATCTATAATAAAATGATGACAGAAAAATGTTATAGCACTGCCTTTAGTAGCCTCATACGCTCCTACTGTTTCCTCCTCATGTCCTTACCAGCCATGTCTGCACAATGTTATATCATGAGTAATAATTTAAAAAAATCTATATACATAAAACACACACATGCACGCATAGTGACATTTTAGACCTTCTTCAGAATACTGTATATACTATGGGCATCCTTACATTATTATTTATTACTAGAGCTACAATAATAAAGCAATGAGGAGGGGGAAGTAATAAATATGAAATAATGTATTTATGATGATTCCATTTGTTTCACTATCCACTCTGTGCAGGGCAAAGCTTATTACATGTTTAAACTGTAGAGATACAATCTTTTGTCTTATTTAAAATATAAATCTAATATAATCTGCTTCTTAATGTATGTTCTTTAAAATACAGCGTGTGTTTTTTAATATATTATAATTATT